CAGTAATAGGAGGTGATTGGAATTTTGTGATTCGGAGTGGTGATGTCGAACCGAGAGGGGCGGGTTGTGTGTTGAGTGTTCTGAGGGATGTATTGCGAGATATTGGGGTTGTTGATGGGGTGGGGAGGGGAGGATACCTAGTGAGCACACGTTTGTCCATAGGGGATATGAGACACGATTGGACAGAATCTATATTAAGCAGGGTATAGATGTTGTGAGGGTGCAAACCTTCAATGTGGGGTTTTCTGATTACAGGGCAGTAATAGCAGATCTGATGTGGGATGGAGTGGTGCGTATTTATTCTGGGTACTGGAAATTAAATGTAAGGCTTCTTAAGGAGGAGGGGGAGGGGCCTTTTTTCAGTGATTGGTGGCTGCATTTTTGGGAGGCTAGGGACAGGGAGATAGATCTGTTAGATTGGTGGGAAATGCAGGCCAAACCTGAAATAGCTAATTTTTTTAAGGTTAGGGGACGAGAAGTGGCGAGGTGGCGTTTTGGGTTGCAAAATTATCTGGAGGGACAGTTGCAAGACTGTTATGTTGGGGGAGGTGGTAGGAGGGATGACATGGCCAGTCTTCGGAGTAGAATAGCTGAATTACACAATGATAAGTTTGATGCAATTAGGATTAGAGTGGGGTTAGAGGACGTATTGTGGGGTGATAAGCCGTCCGGGTTTGTTTTACGTAAATTTCGGGACCGACAGAGAGTAACCACCATTCTACAATTGGAGACAAGCCCTGGGGTGGGAGGGTATCCAGAGGGTCGGGTCCTATCCAATACGGAAAGTATGAGTCTCTATGCTGATAGTTGGTTTAGGGAGAAATGGAGTTGGAGGGAGGGGGGTTCCTGGGAGGGTATTTTTGAAGGGGGGTTCCATAGTGTTTTAAGTGAGCAGGATAGAGTGGGGTTGGAGGTTGGTATAAGTGAGGTTGAGGTGGAAGAGGCAGTTTTCGGGATGAGTACGGGGAAAACACCGGGGATAGACGGTATACCAAATGATTTTTACAGAGCACATTGGGGGTGTATTAGGCAATGCTTTGTTAGGGTATTGGATCATATGTTAACTAATGGGAAGTTGGGCACATCGCAAAGTACGGGTGTCATAGCTTTGGTGCCAAAGCAGAGGGGGGGAAGACAGTTGAGTGCTTACCGAGCAATATCTCTGATGTGCGCAGATTACAAGGTTTTTGCGAAAATTTTGGGTAATAGACTGAAGAAGGTCATGGGGTCGGTGATACATGGGGGACAGTTTGGAATCCCGGGGAGGAGTATGCGGGTAGGTCATGGACGTATTAGGGATTTCCTTGAGGGTAGTAGTAAGGGAGGTATTCTAGGTCTGGATTGGGAGAAAGCTTATGATTATGTGGATAGGGAATTTTTGATTGAGAGTATGGTGAGAATTGGTTTTGGAGGGAGGGTGGTGGGATGGGTGAGGACATTGTATGCGGATGCATCGATGAGGGTACAGGTAAATGGTAGGTTGGGTAGTCCTGTAAGCATGGGGAGGGGTTTAAGGCAGGGGTGCCCACTCTCCCAAATACTCTTTGCATGTATGCAGAATCCTTTCTATGTTCTGGTTGATGGTGGGATGGGAAGGATGGGGGAGAGTGGAGGCTTTTGTGGGAATATTGTTCGTTATGTAGATGATACAACTGTTTTACTTAATGAGATAGAAGATTTAAGTAAAGTGGGAAGGGTACTTGAGATTTTTGGGAATGCTACTGGGATGAGAGTTAATAAGCAGAAATCACGGTTGCTGGAGGAAGGTGCTTGGGTAGGCGGGACCTTGGGGGAGGAGTTTGGCTGGATAACTGTAGAAAGGCTAAAGATTTGTGGGATTTTGTATTTGGCAGATGCACAGGAGAGCAGGAGGGTTAATTCAGAAATGGTAATGAACAGAGCTTTGAGTAGGCTCAGGAGTCTATGGGCCGGGGACGTAACTTTGCATCAAAGGGTTGTGGTGGTAAGTACGCTGATTTATAGTAAGGTGTGGGGAGTGGCGGAAATTTATCCCTTACGAAGTCAGGATATTATGGAATTACAAAGAAGAGTATTAAGGTATGTGTGGGGTTTTGGGAGGGCGTGGTTGGGCAAAGATGTGGTAATGACTGCGGTAAGACAGGGAGGATAGGGATTGATGGCATTAGGGTCTAGGGTGAAGGCGCTATATGTGAAGCAGAGGTATATTCGGGCAGCGGGGGAAAGGGGTCTCCGGGTGGGGGAGGTGATGGGGGATATCCGCAAGTGGTGGGGTGGCAGGGACTTAGTGGAGTGTGAAGATATGTTGAGGTTTATGTTAAAGGTTCGCAATGTTAAAAAACTCAAGGTAAAACGGTTGGTGGGTGTGGGTCGTCGTCAGGAATCAATGCAGGGGATGGCAGTGTATCCCACATATGATTGGAGAGTGATATGGGTGGAATTTAGTAAACTAAGAATACAGGCAAGAGCGAGGGAATTAGTATATAGATTTCTTATGGGGGCGTTAGCATCGAAAGAGGTGCTAAGACGAATGGGTTTTGTGAGAGAGGCGTCATGTGGTTTTTGTGGGGAAGTTGAAACTGCTTTCCATGTAGTATATTTTTGTTCTGCTTTGGATGTGGTAAGATTGTGGTTGAAGAGGGTTTTCCTTTTATTGGGGGGGGGGTCAGATATCACCCCTTAGGGCTTTAATGTTAGATATGGGAGGGGTGCCCAACGAGGTGGGGAGGGCTATCAGATACGTAATAGTTGATTACTTGTATGTTTCTTGGGGGATGAGGGAGGTGGAGGGAAACATTAGGATAAAAGCGTTTGCGGCGTGTTTTTATAGGACAGCGTGTAGGAACAAACAATTATATGGGGGAAGGTGGGTAACTAGTTTTCCGGAGGGATATCGTGGACTTACTGTTGAACGTCTACTCCGCTTGCTGACGGGGTGAGAGGCAATGGGTTGGTGTCTTCAGTGGTGTGTCCTCTTGGAGTGATTGGATCCCTGATGAGGAAGGTTGACTGGTTGCAAGGTGTTTGATGTGGGTAAAGTTTTTTTTGCAGGGAACCGTCGGGGGCTCCGGGGTATGTAGACCTTATGAATTTTGTAAAACCACAGAGTTAAAAGTTGTATGTTATTTTCTGTTTTTTCTTTTATTGTTATAAGAAACATTTTATATAGGGGGTGTATATTCATATGTATATGTGAGGATATGTTTATATATTTGAATCTGATGATAGCTTTATCCTTGTCATACGTCTTTTTTTTTGATCATATTGAAGGGGTACATTATGGACTATGTACGAGAATATATAAGTATTTTATGGGGTTTATATATACCCTTCATTTTGTATGGAAGGTCATATTATATATTGAGTGTTAATCGGTAACATTAACTTTGTGTGTGTGTAGGTGTGTTTGTGGGAACCAATGTCTTAGGTATAGTTCTTTATTGGATGTAATACATTTTTAGTTTATTTGGTGACTAGTCATTTAGCGTTTTATTTCTATGTATAATCCAGTTTGTTCTGTACGAACACATGTGCACATACATGTGTGTGTGTGTGTGCATGCGTATATATATACATATATATATGATTGTAGGACTTATTCCTACATGTTTTATAATGACACCGACTGTTTGTTTGGAAGTCGGTATGTTTTTTTTTTTTTTTTCCATAAATTGGTTTGGTTATTTCAGTAGAATTTTGTTATATCAAGGTGTTAAAATGTATTTTGTGTGTACCTGACATTGTCTGCCACTTCTGTTATGGATGTTATATATTTAGTTTATTTGGTGATAAGTCATTTTGCGTTTTTTTTTTAGTGTATAATCCAGTCTGTTCTGTAAGAACAAATGTGCACATACATGTGTGTGTATATGTGCATGTGTATGTATATACATATATACATGATTATAGGACTTATTCCTGCATGTTTTATAATGACTCCGACGTTTTGTATTAGTAGTCGGTATGTTTTTTTCTGTAAATAGGTTGGGTTTATTTCAGTAGAATTTTTGTTATATCAATGTGTTAAAATGTATTTTGTTTTTTTGTGTGTGTACTGACATTGTCTGCCACGGTTTTTTGATTTGCTAATTGTCGGCTTGTGTTTTTTCTTATTATGGTTTATGTGTATGTTGCTTTTAAATAAAAAAAAAAAACTGTTTCATATTTACATAATGTACTTATTGCACTTGGTTTGTTTTGTAAGCCGTGAGGCAGTTATAACCTTTACCATTTTAAGTTTAGGGAACAGATGTATCATTGTAGTTTATGCTTCATATTCTTACGTGTTGTAAAATTTATACTTCTGGATAGCATTATAGATGTGTTAGGGTTAACTTAATTTATTGTGCACTCTTGTGGTTCTGATTTTAAGTTGTACTTTTCAAATGGGAAGTTCTGTCTGGGGAAGGGGGGGTTCTGTCTGGGGAAGGGGGGGGGGTTCTGTCTGGGGTAGGGGGGAGGGTTTAGTTTGCAGGGTTACGGTATGTAACATACTGTGCTCTTTTGAGTTATTACCTTATGACGTTAAGTCATAGTAAAGAATATCTGGTTTTACTTTTGATGTAGTTAGTACGGAAGTTTGTATCAATTCTCTCCTTAATTTGGTTACCGTTTGTGTTTTCATTAGATAATATTTGTTACATGATGTATAATTATTTATATTTGTATGTGGTATTATATGGCCATGGAAAGTTTATTACATGTGTTGACGGATAAGGCCTGTTTGTTATTTTTTATGTGCTGTGATGTACTTTTTAAATAAAAAAAAATCGCACCTCGAAGCAGTTCAATACCAATAGTATTAATGCGTCTGCGATGACAAACCGCCATCTTAACACCAGTAATTTTCCAGTGGTGTCAACAGACACAACAACACCTCATACCACTGCTGTCAGGTTACTGAGGAGCGTCAGGCAAGGGGGTCTACACAGCCCAAGAGCGATGCAGACAATGCTTAACCACATTATTATTATAATTTTTTTTTCCAAATATTTTGTATTGAATAATATACAGAATTCCGGACGAGAATAAACCTTTAATTGTAATGTGGTCCTGTTCAGGGTTTATGCAAACATTACAGATATCTCTACTTTAGTAACACTGCAGTTCTTCCATGATATTTTGTTTCATTTTCCAAATTTCTTTTGGTGACAGGAGTCAAACCTCTAGAAGACTGTGATCATAGAGGCACGTGATTTTCCAACACCAATCCATTTCATTGGTACACTGATAAGTTCCTCTATCTTTTCAACGTAACTGCGGGCATTTTGTGGGAGCTCCTCGTAAGTGCGGCACTAAGCGGTATCTTGCATCCATCCTGGCATGGTGATATACTCAACTGTTATATCCTCCAATTCACCCATATTTGCTGGGAAGTGTTCAATTCTTTCTCCATTCTTTCTTAAGTAGCCAACGCCAATTTTGATTTCTTCTAGCTCATCTAATATATCCAACTTGGTAAGAATAATAGCAGTGTAGCCATTCACCATATTGGAGTGACTCAAGAGCACTGCATCCAGCCAGCCACATCTTCTTGGTCTCCCAGTGGTTACTCCATATTCACCCCCACGAGACTGCAGTAATTTTCCAGTATCATGAAGCTCAGTAGGGAAAGGTCCAACACCCACTCTAGTAGTATAGGCCTTTACTACCCCATACACTTCAACAATGTACTGAGGAGCAATGCCCAGTCCAGTACATACACCGCCAATGCTGCAATTACTTGGGGTCACATATGGATAAGTACCAAAGTCAATATCCAACATGGCCGCATTAGCTCCTTCTACCAGCACTTTCTTATTCTCCTTAAGACACTTGTGAATATAAGCAAGTGTGTTGGCTACCAAGGGCTGCATTTTCTCAGCATAATCTTTGTACTTACTAACTTCCTCTTCAACATTTACCTGCAGTTCAGGGAACATTCTCTTGTGCGAATCAACTAAGTTCCTCAGCCTTTGTTCAAACAAACTAAAGTCTCCCAGAAGATCTGCCATTCTAAGCCCATGTCTCCCAGCCTTATTGGAGTAGTGCCCAGGGTTTTAGTACCAGAATTATCCATAGAACGTTCCTGCTCTTGCAAGCCATCTACACTTTGATGGAAATTAAATACAATGTGAGATCTATCAGATATGGTAAGTCGTTTCTCCCAATCTTTCAAACCTTTCGCTTCGTTCTTCTCTATTTCCTCAAACATTTGACCAAGGTGCACTACAACACCATTACCTACGACAGACACAGCTGAGGTGTTGATAATGCCAGATGGCAGAATGTGAAAGTCATACTCTGCATCTCCAGTCACTACTGTGTGACCAGCATTGTTGCCTCCCTGACACCTGTCCTGTACATAAGAACATAAGAACATAAGAATGTAGGAACACTGCAGAAGGCCTACTGGCCCATACGAGGCAGGTCCTTATCAAAACGACAACTACCTAGAGCTACTCAAGAAACAACTCCAGCACCCCCCAACACCAATCAAACCCAGCCCCTCCCACTCATATATTTGTCTAGTCTCTTCTTAAAGCTACCCAAGGTCCTAGCCTCTATCACCCCACTGGGAAGACTGTTCCACGCATCTACAACTCTGTTAGAAAACCAGTACTTACCTATGTCCTTTCTAAATCTAAATTTATCCAACTTAAATCCATTATTCCTGGTTCTTACCTGGTTCGACACCCTCAGTACTTTATTAATGTCTCCCTTGTTTATGCCCGTCATCCACTTATACACTTCAATGATATCTTCCCTCATTCTACGCCTCTCCAGAGAGTGGAGATTTAAGGCTTTAAGTCTATCTTCATACGGGAGGTTCCTTACACAGTAAATCATTTTAGTCATTCTTCTCTGTATGTTCTCTAATGAGTCTATGTCCATCCTGTAGTAAGGGGACCAAAACTGAGCAGCATAATCTAAATGAGGCCTCACTAGTGATGTATAAGCTGTAAAATAACTTTTGGACTTCTGTTACTTATACTTCTTGAGATAAATCCAAGTAATCTGTTGGCCTTGTTGCGCACACTTAAGGCACTGCTGTCTTGGCTTTAGATTTCTGCTTACCATGACTCCCAAGTCTTTTTCACATTCTGTATGACCAAGCTCTACTTCACCTAGATTATAGCTTCGAGGGTTATTTTCATTACCCAAAGGGCAAGTACCTTACACTTATCCACATTAAACTTCATCTGCCATTTCTCAGACCAAGACATTAATTTGTTCAAATCGTCTTGGAGTTCATTGATATCCTCCTCAGAGTGAATTATACGGCCTATCTTTGTATCATCAGCAAACTTACTCATGTCACTAGTAATCCCTTCATCAAGGTCATTAATGTAAATTATGAACAAGAGAGGGCCTAAAACTGATCCTTGTGGAACGCCACTAGTGACTAATCCCCATTCAGATTTCACTCCATTAATGGTAACTCTCTGCTTTCTATTGGTAAGCCATGCCTCAATCCATGCTAGAACTTTACCTCCTATACCATGAGCTGCCACTTTTCTTAAGAGTCTCTTGTGAGGTACTCTGTCGAAGGCTTTACTAAAATCCAAATAAACAATATCATATTCCTTATTACTGTCAACTGCCTCAAATGTTCTATTGAAGAACGTCAGTAAGTTTGTCAGGCAGGAACGACCTCTCGTGAATCCATGCTGAGATTCATTTATCAAGTTATGCTCTTCAAGGTGACTTCTGATAATGTCAGCTATAATTGATTCTAATAACTTGCCCACTATAGATGTCAGGCTTATTGGACGGTAATTTGAAGGAGTGGACTTATCCCCTGATTTGAATATAGGAACCACATTAGCCATCTTCCACAACTCTGGCACAACACTGGTAAGGATGGACGCATTGAATACACTCGTTAATGGCTGACTAAGCTCCATCTTGCATTCCTTAAGTACCCTTGAAAACAACTCATCGGGTCCCGGGGACTTATTTTGTTTCAGTTTGTCTATCTGTTTAATAACCATGTCCTCGTGACAGTAATATTAGTTAACTTAAATTCATCAGAACCAAATAATTGTTAATTACTGGAATCTCATTTACATCTTCCTGTGTAAAAACTGACAAAAAATAGTCATTAAATAAGGAACACCGTTTCCAGTTCATTATCCGTCAGCTGTCCATTCCCAGATTTCAGAGGTCCTACTTTTTCCTTCACCTTCGTCCTATACACTTGAAAGAACCCCTTTGGATTAGTCTTTGATTCATTAGCAACTCTAATTTCATAGTCACGTTTAGCCTTTCTAATCGCCTTTTTTACTTCTCTTTTAAGCTGAACATATTGGTCAGTAAGGTTAACCTCTCCTCTTCTGATGCGCCTATAAATTCCCCTTTTCTCCCCTAATAGATGCTTTAGCCTCCTGTTAACCCATTTGGGATCGTTATTATTAGACCTAATTTCTCTCTTGGGAATGTATATATTCTGGGCACTGTGTACATTATTAAGAAAACAATCATAAAAGCAGATACCTTCGTATTCATAAGTATGATTATCACCAATAAAATCATTAGCTAGATAACCCCAATCAAGATTAGACAGATGTTCCCTAGTCCATTATAATCGGCAGAACGAAAATCAGGGATTTTTACTGTATTATCATTATTCTTGCATTCCCAATTAATGCTAAAGGTGATGGATTTGTGATCACTTGCGCCAAGCTCTTCAGTGATCTCCAGATTATTCACGAGTGTTTCCTTATTTGACAAGACTAGGTCTAGCAAATTATTACCCCTGGTAGCTCAGTTACACTCTGTTTCAGAAAACAGTCCTGAACTGTTTCCATGAAGTCACTGGACTCTAGATTACCTGTCAAAGAATTCCAGTCAATTTGGCTAAAGTTAAAGTCCCCTACTATGACTACGTTACTGTGTCCAGAAGCCTAACAATTTCGTCCCAAAGAGTCTCCCTCTATCGTGATCCAAGCCTGGAGGTCGGTATATTACACTAGAATTAGTTTTTCTTGACCCTCCACGAACTCTACCCAAACAGACTCTGTTACTGCTCCATCTATTTTTATACCTGTTTTTATGCAACAATTAATATTTTCTCGAACATACAATGCAACTCCTCCCCCCTTCCCATTACATCTATCTACATTGAACAACTTAAATCCCTGAATATTACACTCAGCAGTCATATCCCGACTCTTTAAATCATACCACGTTTCAGTTAATGCAATGATATCAAAGTTCCCAGCACATGCTACCAAACGTAGTTCATTAATTTTATTTCTTGCACTTCGACTGTTAGCATAAAATCCATCATATGTTTTTTCTTCTGCACATTTTTCTATTCATCTTTGTTTTTACACAATTTCTGAAATTATCATTACCCAGAGTTACTCCATGACAGTTACCATTAAGATTCTTAATATCAGAGCATAAGTCAATATATCCATACTCATTATTAATCATTTCTAAACCCATACCTCTAACTAATCCTAGTTTAAAGTCCTAACAACCCCCTCAACTGAGTTAGCAAGAAAACCCACACCTGCCCTGGATAAGTGAACCCCATCCTGGCATACATGTCATTTCGGCCATAGAAGTTGTCCCAGTTGTCAATGAATGGTACTGCATTATCCTTACAGTGTTTATCAGCCAACAATTAATACCAATTGCTCTGGACAACCATTCATTACCAACACCTCTTCTTGGCAAAATGCCACATATAACAGGGCGCCCCCCTTTTTCCCTAATCATGTCTATAGCTGTCCTGAACTTTCTAACTAAATCCTCACTTCTATGCTTGCCTACATCATTGCCTCAGCACTGAGGCAAATAATAGGATTGATCCCATTACCGTTCATGATGTTGTCAAGCCGGCTAACAATGTCCTCCATCCCAGCCCCAGGAGAGCATACCCTTTGTCTCCTACTCCTGTCCTTCAAGCAGAATGCCCTATCCATGTATCTAACCTGGCTATCCCCAACAACAACAATATTCTTACCTTCTTGTTGTCGTTCGTCGTGACGATCCCAGTAGTAGACTCACATTCGTCGGGTAGCACCGAGAATGCGTTGGAGGTTTCCACGGGAGTTTCCACAGCAGTCTCTTTCTTCTTCATCGTTTCTGGCTTTCCATACGTCTTCTTGATCGTCAACTTCGTCGTCCCCTGCTGTCCAAACACTGACCACGATCCCTTCTTGACCTGAGGACTCGAAACAGGAGGACTACTACGAATCCTCTTGTTTTCCTCGGTCAGTCGCCGTATCTCCATCTTCGCTGCCCTCAATTCCTCCTTAAGCTGCTGGTAAAGCTGCTCGATGGAGGGCATCTTGGTTCAGTCCACGGGAGCAAACAAGACACTTCTTCACAGAGCCAAGTATAGGTCAGCACTCAAAGTACAGGTCACCACTCAAGAGCACACAAACAGGTCTTCACAGGACAAACTGTTACTTTGTTGTATGGCTCATGTCTCAGCCTCTTCCTTATTATTATAATAAAAAAGAAGCGCTAAGCCAATATCTTAACCACAAAATAACTATATAACCAAAACCTGACAGTCTTATTCATATTGTATATGAAATTTAATATACAAAAACAATTTCATATTAACTAATGCATTGCACACACCGTGGTACTATGATTATATAAAAATTTTATATACAAAAACAATATCATATAAACTAATACATTGTACACTCAATGGTAATATGGGAATATAAAATAACTATCAGAAGGCTACATGACTCTTGAAATTGGAACATGGTGTTCTTTATTTTTGGTTTTGCATATATTGAAAAAGGAATCAAAATATGCAAAAATCCTTTAATAATTAACATAAGACTTTTACAGATCTAACATGTATGATTACATATGAGGAAACACTAAGACACCTAATACCCCGACCAACCCCATATTTAGTTTCTCAAACTAATTATAAACCCACAAAAAATATACCTTACTTGTATACAGTGATATTAGTTGAACATCAACTGACTATATGCACCATAAATGAAATAAAAAAAATACATGTGATATCACTGGGTGAGGGAACAACATCCCACAAAAGCTGCTGCCCAAGGAACTTGAATGTCTAAAGATTACAATATAGGACATTATACATCTCAACCCCCCCCCCCTCACAGCGGTGACCGCTACTACATATACAAAACAATCTTAGGCAAATGAAACTTTTTGCCCTTCATCAAAAGTTTACAACCATCACCAAAGGTCTGCTTATGAACATTTCCCTTAAAGGCCAGTATAACGTTGTACTTTTAGCGGTGATATCAGCGTGGCATCCGCTTACAAATGACTAAACTAAACCTAACGGGAGTGGCCCGGTGGCCTGGTGGCTAAAGCTCCCGCTTCACACACGGAGGGCCCGGGTTAGATTCCCGGCGGGTGGAAACATTTCGACACGTTTCCTTACACCTGTTGTCCTGTTCACCTAGCAGCAAATAGGTACCTGGGTGTTAGTCGACTGGTGTGGGTCGCATCCTGGGGGACAAGATTAAGGACCCCAATGGAAATAAGTTAGACACTCCTCAATGACGCACTGACTTTCTTGGGTTATCCTGGGTGGCTAACCCTCCGGGGTTAAAAATTCGAACGAAATCTTATCTTATCTTATCCCAGGAAAGACCCAACATACTTCACCAAGCCCCGGCTATAATCGGGAACCAGTTCAGTCTTGCTAGAGGCTGGAACATATACTGAAATATTGCTTTTTATCTGTATCAAGATGCATGACCATTTTAGGATTAATCCAAGATCTCAGTGCCACACAACGCCACAACCATACACACACAGACACACGGTACCATTCATAATACATACATGCCACTCCCTAAAACCCACCCTCTACCCTGAAGTCTCTAACATACCGTTTGGTGCTACCACGGGGGGGTGAGTCCAGCCCCCCGTTGCCTTACCCCACCCGCAGTTGCAGTAACCTTTGAACAGTAAGACTTCGATACTTTGAAGGAAAACTATTGTCCC